AAAAAGAGTAATATTGTCAGATTTGTATTCATGCTTTCTCAGTGTTACTATGAAAAGACAAACATCATTGAAATAATAATTGTTGATATTGAAAATTCCCCAGTTTTCAATTGGTTCATCCCTCAGTATCTAGCAGAAGAAGACTGCATATTCATTATTGTATGTTAATCTGTTGTTTTGATGATATACTATTTCATGCATTTTTAACATTAGAGGGCGGTGGTCGCAATGCCACATCGTGTTCGATATGGGTCCCATAGTGATGTATACAATGCGCATGTGTTATGTGCAATTTTGAATGCACTGCGTGACAACCACCTTCTTTAACATAGGAGTTAAAACAAGCTGTTGACTAACTCACTCATTTGTCTGCTGTCATTCAATGTTTTTTGATTTTTTGATTATTTTCTAGTACCTGTGGTTGAAGTTGAAAGACTATGGCTGAGATTTCGACAACTCGGTGGTAGTAGTGACGGTATACTGACCAAAACAGCACTTAGTGAAGCAAATATCTACCAAGATGACATCCTTAAAAAGGTAAGTGTTTGTATTTGTTGGTGTATATAAAGAAATAGAATGTTTGTTAGTTGTTACTATGGCAACAATGTGATGATGGGTATAGATGGCCCAATTTAGTCAGCACTAGATTAGACTTTTACATGTAGATACCATTTTGATTCTGACATGGATCCCATGCAGATCCCATGTGGATCATGTGTTCATTCCATGTGGGTTTCATGTGGATCCCATGTGGGTCACATATGAAGTTTACATATGCATGTAGGTGAAATGCATTGTTTATACAAACATGCAAATTGCATGAATCCCCTTTCTGTAATGTGTGAATTGAACTTGACTAAAAAAAATTGTTTATGTACATATTATAAACAATGGTCATGAAAATTGTGTACTTAACATCATGCATGAAACTAAAAAGAATAAAAACTTGGGTACCTGACATTTCTATAGTAACCATTTCAAAGTATGCATGTTTTCTATAATAATTAATTTGTTGCATATTTGTTTATGAAGATTCTTATTCACATGCCGAAAAACAAAGATGGAGGAATGACATTCCAAACATTCTGCAATGCATCAAAATGGTGTGAAAACGTCAACATAGAAGGAAAACTAAGAGGTGAGACAGCAAATGAAGAGAATTTTTGCAATTTAAGATGATAATACAAAATGCCGAGCAGTGTGATCAATGTACATGTATGTATTCTGTATGCTAGATTTCAAAATCTGCCATAGAGGGCACCCTAATCAGGAGGGGGGGGGGGGGTGATTGATTGGTGTATAAACTTAAACTAAACATTTTAAACAATCACTTTTGATTATAAAGTTGAGCCTGTAACAGGTGTATTGAAGTCCCTGGGGAAAGTTGGCTGAGGGATACAATATGGATTTCTCATTTCTCATAAATTATTACTGATAAATTTTTGATACTAAAATACAAGGTTTGGAGAGGAGGTAAAGTTACTATAATATTTTTGCATATCATAAGTGACAGCGCCCTCTATCACCTTATTTATATTCCCAGGATTTTTTCGAACTCTAAATGATGGACATTACATCGATAATGATACATTAAAGAAGATTTTAAAGTCTGTCTACCCTGAAGACAATAGGGTAAGTAAGACTTAAACAGTTGTAATCTGATGGAAATCTCAAGTTTTAACAGAATATCAGAGTTTGCCATGGAGCCTGACATTCTATCAATGAAATAATGATTATGGTAAATATTTTAGTTGAATGTAAATTATTATGTTAACTACTTGAATTATTTGTGAACTAAATCTGTATAAACAATGTAGAATTTTGTTATACCATTGAAAACTGTAGCTGTTCTCAAATTAAACCGATTTATGAACAATTTGGTCATAAAACTGCAAATGCAGAACATCAGTCATACTGTTAATTTCATTTACATCACAGTGTCAGGAAACCAAACGTAACGCGAATTTGTTCAAATTCAGTGTGCACATAACTCATGTATATCATTATAGTAATAGAAATTAGAATGTTACAAATAAAGTGAAGATATTGCCACAAATGTAAAACAAATAAAAATCATTATTTTAGTCATTAAAAATAGAATGACACTTTTTAGTCCCTTTTTTGGGGTAAACAGATTATATATCACCTATATAACCTACTGACATTGACAAATTGTATACAATATTAGTTGAGAATTTGGTAGAAAAACACAAAAATGATTTTTTTTCAGTACTGTTGTCATGACAACTATTTTATATGCATGTTTGGCACCAGTACATGTATGCTACCATGTTATAAACTTTCAGCCAATTTGAATTTCAACTTTTGAAGTTATAGATGAAATCATTTTCTCAATTTCTGACAGCAATGGATATACTTTACCTATAAAACTTTGCTGAAGAACCAAGATGGCTGACTACATAATACTGGTGAAAAGTTGAATATCTAGAGAATTAAAAGTGATATAAATAAACTGTAAATTGCATGTCCTTGCATTTGCTGAGCTCTTTCATCTGGGAGTGTTATGTTGTTAGCCTTGACTTTTCCTTTAAGTACCCCTTATCAAGCCAGTAATTATGTTATAATACATTCGCTTGCAGGAAGCGATTTCCCGACATGCCAAGGTGTTTATGTCTGAAGTTGACAAAAGAAGACTGGGATATATAGATGAGGAACAGTTTATTCGCTGGATGAAAAACATGCCACATGAAACTGTTCAAAAGATATTAATGTATTCCATTATACCTGATCACATTCAAGAAGAATTTAGAAGAGATAACTTATCAACAAGTCATAGTTCAAAACCAGTAAGTATAAACAGCTGTCAAAATGTTGTGAAAGTCACAATGAGTACAAAAATTTGTGATTTTTGCCAACTAAGAGACACACAACACTAACCAATCGCTATAGCAACTGGTAGAGACACAACACTAACCAATCGCTATAGCAACTGAGATAGACACAATACTAACCAATCGCTATAGCAACTGAGATAGACACAATACTAACCAATCATTATAGCAACTGGGAGACACACAAAACTACCCAATCACTATAGCAACTGGTAGAGACACAACACCGACGAATCGCTATAGCAACTGAGAGAGACACAATACTAACCAATCACTATAGCAACTGGGAGAGATACAAAACTAACCAATCACTATAGCAACTGGGAGAAACATAACACTAACCAATTGCTATAGCAACTGGGAGAGACACAACACTAACCAATGTTTACCACGACTTGGCAAGATATGGTACCACTGCTCAATTTCACATAGTTATGTCTACTTATTGCAGCCTCCAAAAAAGAGAAGACAAGCCATTACTGGTGATATGTTGGATACAGTTGCCACCCGTGCTAGTGCAAGAGATTGGAGTGTACTCGCCAATAAGTTAGGTTTCACTCTAGAAGATGTTGACCAACTTAGCCGTCAGGTTTCCAAAGAAAGACCATGAACAGGTATGAATGAACTGTTTTACTGTTTAGTATAC